ATTAAGACCTTGTTCTCTCGAATCCTAGAGCGAGGGTTTGGAGTTGTTAACAGACTCCTCAAATAAACATTTTAATATTTATGGACCGAAGCAAGAAGAATAGCAGGAGTTTTGGATTGTTGGTCTTCCAATTACTCAGCTATTATTGAATATTAATTATTAAATGTTACCCATTACTCAACATTACAATGTAACACACGTGTTAATGTTCAATGAATTAAAAATGATAAAATTAAGGATTAACTAATATTACTTTATTGTCCCTCTAATCTTACCTATTAAAAGGATATTTTTGTCCAAACAAAAAAGGGAAGAAACCACTAACTACATTCATCCTTAACTACATTCATCCTTTTATAAAAAGTATATATATATATATATATATATATATATATATATATATATATATATATATATATATATATATATTCCGGGAATTGAACACAATTATTAACAATTAATTATATAAACAAATTGCCAAATATTCATGACCAACAATCAACTATAACTCTAAATACAAACATACACTTCCAGAGCTTTATTAAATATCCGAATAAATATTTGGCACACTCACAAAATGACAATAAAACATTTTTCCCTTTTACTAAAAAAGATAAATCACACTTGGGCTTATTCAGGAATATCGAACCAGATAAAATCAAGAGTTATAATCCCAAATAAAATTTACACAAAAAAATTATGAAGGTGGAACTTTTGTAGTAGTTTTAGTAGTAGTAGTACTGGAAATAGCTTTTCCACTGTTTACCAGCTTTTCCACTGTTTACTAGAATATAGATACGACACTGTCGTGGACTCGGGACTTCTGGTTTTGAGCAACGCATTCAGAAATCCACATCAAATTCCTGATCTCCTGCTCTTTCAACCTCATATACGCAAAAAACACAGCATAGTGGAACTGCATCACAAAGGAATTACAAAATCATTTAATTAATAAATGAATTCATCGATAATTTGAAAATAGAGCACAGAAAAGCAGAGACGAGGATTAAGCATTGGAAAACGAACCTGCTGTTCAAAAGATAGGCAAAGTCGTTTTACTTCTTCTTCGTAGAAGGCCTTGTCAAGCATCTGACTCTCCCCATAGGATAACTTAGAAAATATGGCTTGATAAGGAGGGTACTTTTCCATGGCCCCACGAACCTAAAAAACATTGAATAAATAAACATCGAGCAAAGATAATAACACACTCAATTGTTTGAGAATATTGATATGATTGATTGGATAGATAATATAATGGGATTGTTTCATACTTGGGATTTATGATTGTATTATATTTGTTTGAGAATAAGTACCTGATCTATATCCTCACAGATAGCAAGCTCCTCGTGGCCATACGGGTATCTATTGAAAAAATATTGCGTCAGTGATAGGAAATAGTAACTTCAGTAAAGCATATAATTTGGACTCACTGAAATAATAAAAAGCCGAAGAAAAAAAAAAAAGAAGCCTTACAGCAAGCCAAAATTAGAATACAACTTCCTACGATCATCTCGAGTGAGCTCGGTGCCAATGCTGGATATAAAAAATAAAAATAAAATATGCAGATGTCAGAAAATTATACGACCAACTATTATATATTTGAAAAATTTCAGAGATTTTAGATTTTGACAAACCTGTTTATAGTGATATTCACTGCCCTTCTGTCAGCCTCAAAGGATAGGAGGTCAGACATGATCTCTGCAGTTGCGCCGCCAAGTTTCTACTAGTAAATTCTTTTGTTAAAAGTATAATTCCAAACAGAAACTAATGTACTTCGAATATATAAAGAAACATTACGAAATATTCGAAAATGATTATTGTACCTGGCAAAACCTGTAAAAATCCTCAAGGTATGCCTTGTAGAGAGTGTTCCTCATAATCTCAATGTTCATGTCATCCAAGTCCTGTAAACAAATCCATGTAAGAAAAAGTGCATCAACATTAAAAAATAAAAATAAGCAAGTGCACCCCTTGTTTCTGGTCAGTGTATAATAGTAGCTAAACTGATAACTATTTTCTAGATCACAAGATAACAACATTTCCATTCACCGACAGTGTTTATGCAGTGTTGACTGAACCAGAGGGTACTGTATCATTATAGTAATATTGTTTAACCACTAATTTCTCAGACAACCTATATTTTAATCTAGTAGATTGGTCATTAAGCTGTCTCTTAAGTAAGGTACGAGTATTTGAGCCAGTTGGCCAATGGTACGCAGAGATAATCATTGAGGTCGGCTTACTTCGCCTTCTTATTAAACCTCTAAACCAATCAGAACTAATTATCATGATGACAAAATCATGACTAGTAAAAAATGAATAACAGATTATAGCTGTTAGAATATTATCAATTCTGTTACCAAAACAAAAATAAGTATGCTAAACAACAAAAAAGCAAATAAAAAATGTGCATTGGTAGTAACCTCTGAAGTGATGCACTCAGAAAAATATGGAGCCAGGGGCGTGTCGACAAGCACCAGCCTGTAGAGCTCCCTCATATTCTGAGCAACTGCTAGAGTGGCAATGCTGTGGAAATAAATGGTTATTTTTTAATGTACTAACAATTTTATACAGTCCAAAATATCTGCTTAAGGTAATATACCTGTCAAACATCCCTAAAGGATGGCATTTCTCCAGCAACTCCTGAACATCTCTCTCATGCAGTGTTCCAGTTACGATTAGCACAACATTGTCAATCATGTGCCCGTATCTGAATAATGAGCAATAATTTTCAGATCAAGAAAATGCTCAAGAAATAACGTGCAGAGTATGCCACCGGCCCACCACAAAAGGCAAGGCAAGGTGTCCACTGTGATTACTGAAAATCTTTCTATCATATCCTAAGTCGTAAACCGAAAACATTAGAACAAAATAAAAGACCAATCTAAATACACTCAAAGATGACCATCCAAGATCACTGTATATTACACATTTGACACAAGCATCATTTTTCAACTACAACCAAATGTTTTTCAATGTAAATTCATCACTATTTCTGCATAATTTTCATTTTTCCCATTTTTCAAAAAGATTTCTTAATTAGGTATGATATTACGACCATAACTTTTGGCATCACATTTTCACATATTTCAATTTCAAATGGCTTTGTTCTTTCAATATGATGCAAAAAGGTGTATGAAAAGAAGGTACTATAAATTAAAGGAATGACTAGTTTTTCCTATCCAGCATATTAGAGAGATTCTTTAAAATAACTGTTGTACCACAAAAGTCAAAATTGGATGATCAACTGAATATGCACTTGAGCTTGCTAGGATATCAAAATCAAATGTACGAGCCAATGTACAGAACATAGAGTAATTACCAAACAAAGTAAACTTAGATATATACATACGTGATATACTCTAGAAAGGTTGACAGAGGCTCCGTGGCTTGGGTTAACATGTGCTTGTACTCATCAACCAATTTCAGGGTGCATTTCTCCACAATTGTTGTCGTATGCAATGGAGACGGCTCTGCAATTCAGTGGGAGAAAATAATTAAATATTGCCATTTTAATTTTCCAACATTTTTTTATCAATGAAACTATCAAGCAGTCTCTTTCAGATTAATATTAGATGAAAACCGAGAAAATTCAAAGTACCACAATGTGTATACTCATATAGTCAAAGATGCCACAAGCCGAAGAACTAATAAAGCTTCTGACAACTAATGAAACTAACAAATAAACTCCGTTAGTGAACTAATTTGTAACAAAGCACTTTTATTGAACTATTTGAATTTGGCAAATGGAATTAGAGCTAATGACACAAACGAATTAAAGTCAATAGCAACTGAGGGAGAAAAGCAAATAATAACCTCAGCAAATTATTCTCCCAAGCTGAAAACATTTGCATCTACAAACTTAGAACCCTCATTATCGAATATCCTTCAGTTGAAACAAGCTCTAATAGTGTGCTGATCCAGTAAGCATAGATTAGAAAATTCAGAAAACGAAAAGAAAATCTATTGAATCAACTTAATAACTCCAAAATCAAAATTCTACTCCATGTCATCAACTGCATATATGATATAAATCCCCAATGGCTACATAACAGAAGTCAAAGTCCAAATCCAGAGCCCGGAACTAACAAACTATGATAGTTAATAGTAGCATAGACTAATGTAACAAAATCGAGTACTTGGATCTGATTTTCAGTTGATTCGGTAAACGGACTCAAAATCATGCTTAATAGTAGCATAGACTAATGTAACAAAATCGAGTACTTGAAATCTGATTTTCAGTTGTAAACCGAATCAAAATCATTGGGATCAACATAATAACTTCAACATCGAAGACTCCTAATCACTAATTCATCAATTAAATCCAGCAAAACAACATAAAATGTAAATCAGAGCTCAGAACTAACAAACTGTGATTACTTAATAGTAGAACAAACCAACCTAACAAAATCAGAGTACTTTGAATCTAATTTTTCGGCTAATTTGGTAAATCGAAACAAAATCAATCGGATCAGCAATAACAACTTCAAAATTTGAAGACTCCAGTTCACTATTTCATCAATAAACAACAGAAAAATGCAAAATCGGAACTCGTCAACTCAATTTGAATCACGAAAAGGGGAATAAACTCACCGTTCTGGAGGTAGGCGCCGTACTCGGTGGCGGAGAGGTGCATTTTGATGTCGTCGAGGGTCTCGCACTGGCATAGATTGTTGTAATCTGCGGCGGTGAGGAGGCCGGAGCGGTGACCTCGGACGATCGCCTCCAGGTAACCGCCGTGGATGTTGAAGGTCAGCGCTTCGAATCCGTACATTTTGTCGATACAGATCTGAAGCGAAATCTGGTAATTTCCCCCTCCGATAAGAAAATTCCAAAACGACGAGCTGTTTGAGATAGAAAAGGGGGGTTCGAAGAGAATGGAGATGGGGTTGGGGAAAAAAAATAAATTAAATTAAATTAATTAATTAATCACGTGCCAGTTTTCAGTTCACGTACTCACGTTGATGCGAGATAAGTATTATGACGGTGGTAAAAGCCGTAAAACCATAAATCTACAAAAGGGTAAAATTACTCGATATTTTATATTATGGCAAATTACGGTCACCCATTGAAGTAAGTCTAAATTACGAAAAAAAGCTCATCATATTTGGATAATTACAACCACCCCCTCAACTATATATTGTCTTACGAAGAAACCCCTCAATCAGTAGGTAAATTTGACATCGTAAGGGTGGACGTGTAAGACAATACATAGTTGACGAGTAGTTGTAATTACCCAAACATGAGGGGGTTTTTCGTAATTTGAGTATACCTCAGGAGGTTGCCGTAATTTGCCCTTTGATATTATAATAACAAATCAAACTTGAACTCGTAGTTTCATTCAGTAAGTTATGAAGCTCGATTATGAAAAAAAAGTAAATAATAAAATACGTAAAAAAAAATAAAGCTACTCAAACTCGATTCGTGTTCGATGTAATTAAAGCTCAATCCAATTACTGATCAGACCAAGCTAAAACACTTTTACAAGCTCGATAAAAATTCAAATAAGTTTGAACAACAACGCGTTTACGAAACCTCTTCTCGACAAGATTGCAATACTAGCTTATAAATCGGATGCATCCTTTTTATTCTATCTATATTATATTCTTACAAGTTGTTACATCCAAACACATATATATATATATATATATATATATATATATATATATATATATATATATATATATATATATATATATATATATATCAGCACCTTTGTATCTATCTATTCTGCTACATCAATCTTTGTACAAAGAGTAGCCTAGAGACAAAGTAAAGGCAATTGCATTTGCATGCTTATTACCATATAGGAGCAATGCCTACTGTATCAGCCCCAATCATTTCCGAATAATCGTAATCGTAATGAAATTGCCGTTGAAACTCGAACGGAATATCACAGAACAGATCATCGTATTCGTCTTTACTACTAACTTCACTTTGCTTATTGATCTTCATATTGTTCTCGTCGTCGTCACTACTTTCTTCTTCGGACAAATTCGAGTTCTTTTCGACGAGCTCTTTGAAAACCGAAGATCGAAGTAGAAGCCCTAAAGCCGTAGGAGATGAAGGCTTTCCGTACGAGCTAGACGAGATTTTTCTCCCGCCGTGTAATTTGTCGTCAGTGTGAAAAGACGAAAATGCCCCCCGCGATTGTGTGAATAACGGCTTTGTTTCTTCTTCAGTGGGGGAGGATGAGTTGTTTGCTTGGGGCTTCAACCATTGGATGTAGCTGCTCAAGTCGAAGTTAGTGACTGCATTAATTCCTCGGTATTCGATTGCGGCAATATCGTATGCTCGAGCAGCCTCTTCTTGAGTACCTGCATACGGTATAACCCCGATAAATTAATAACCTTGCTTAAATAATAATTTCTTCCGGACCTGACTCGGTGAAAACGTATTAAATTATTAGTTCGATAATTTAATATTTCGCTAAGTTAATAGAATTTTGTAATCCCGACTGTATTATTTTATAGAGGTTTAACTGTATTTATATTATTATTATTATTAGAAATTTAATATTTATTATTTATTTTTTTATTTTAAAGATTGATTTATATATGTACTTACTGTAAGTGCCAAGGTAGAGGTACTTGTTGCCAAAAACTCTGCCTATTCTTGCCTCCCATCTTCCATTGTGGTGATGTCTGCATTTGTTACAACACATTTGTAATTAAATATTTATAACAATTAATTAGAAATTTAATTTGAAGGAAATTAAATAATTAGTTCATTTCTTATATATATATATATATATATATATATATATACCTAGCAACTCCTCTGTACTTTGACACCCCTCTTGAAAAGCCACTGCTCTTTCTGCAGATCATTAACACAAGATTCTGGTTAATATAATTACTATTTACTCCTCCATTTTCAAATTTTTACTTCGAATTAAATCAATCGAAATAAGGGTTTTTTTTTTAATTTTAAATTTACCTTCTCAATGAGGCTAAGTACTCTTCTTTTGTGAGATTCTGCATGATTTCGATTTCTTTCTCGTAATCAGATATCTGCGAAATTAGTAGATGAAAAAAAATCGTGATCAACTAAGAATGAATTAATACACGTGACATGACAATATAATATATACGACTAAATACGTAAGAAAAGAAAATTACCGGAAAATTGGTAAAAGTCGATGCCCCCCAATATTTTAGTGCAGCTAAATCATAAGCTCTTGCTGCAGCTTCCTCTTCATCATAGGCTCCTAAGGAAAATTTTAATTTACAAATTATTTACTTTTACGCCGATTTTTATTTATTTATAATAATTATTATTATTATTTTTTGCATATTATGTATACAGTATAATATTATAAAGACTACTCACCAAGATAAACTGTCCATTTTGAATTCCATTGCAGCACACAACAAATAATGGACCATGAAAAAAAACAGACAAAAAAATTTCATGTCAGAAAATTGATGATTATACAATCAATATATATATATAACTATATATACATATATATAATTCAGTAAGTGTAAAAATTTAATCGAAAAATAATTATGGTAAAAAAAAAAATTACCTTGTTTACCCTTTTTCTTCTGAGTGACATTCCAAGAGAGTTTGTCCCACAAATGAGCTTCGTATCGACCGGTCCATCTATGCTTACTCACACCACGAAACCTCGAACTTCTCTTCACGGTTGTCGTCTTAATACCCGAAGAAACATTTGCGGGCCCACTTTCGTTTTGCTGTATCTCTTTTCGATCTTTCGTATCTCTTCTTCTACGCTTAACGCACCTAATCGCTTTGTAAGCTCCGCCTTCTACTTCTTCATGCATGCACCTTTTTCCGAGGGTTTCTTCGCTTTTTACCATAATCATTGCCATTATTTAATTTCTAGTTATATTTTTCTCTCTTTTAATAATTGAAGTATATAAACGAGATTTCGAATGTGTATATATAACATTTGTGCTTGTTTTGGTTTTATTTGTTTTTGTTTTTTGTTGCTCTGATTTTTTTGTATAGAAAGACAATAAGAACGATGATATTAATGGATGCTTGAGCTTAAGACAAAATCTAAATTGTCTATGTACGGTTCCAATTAATTTGGACTTTTTCAATTTATTGTCTCAATAACTTTTTTTTTTTATTTAATTTTCTTGAGGTATCTTAAATTTACTTTGGCTGTATCTGTGGTTTTGAGCATAGAATACACCGAAGGTATAATGTAAATAGTTCGGGTAAATTACAACACCTCTCTGAGGTAAAATATAATTACAAAAAACCCCGGTATTTTGAAAAATTTACATCCAGCCCCTATAATTTGTAAATTTATTACGTCCATCCCCTTACAAAAGGTGTTAATGTAAGAAACCTACAATTTACGGGGAGTTGGATGTAATTATAGAAAATGAGTGTGACATTCGTAAATAGTTCTTATTACCTCAGGAGAGAATTATTGGTTTAATTAGCATATGTCACACGTACAGCATAACCTCGATAAATTAATATTCAATAAATTAATAACCTCGTTTAAATAATATGTTTTCCCAGTCCCGACTCGAAGGCAACGTGTTAAAAAATATTTCGTTAAATTAATGCTTCGCTAAATTAATAAAATTTAAATGGTCCCGATTGTATTAATTTATAAAGGTTTAACTGTAGTTGAAAAGATTCTTGTTTGTATTGTAATAGTTGTTGTAATAGTTCAGGTAAATTACAACCACTTCCTGAGGTAAAATGTAATTACAAAAAACCTGCTATATTTGATAAATTACATCTAGTCCCCTGCAATTTGTAAATTTATTACATCCAAACCCCTATAAAAGGCTGTAAATGTAAGAAACCTACAGTTTACAGGGTGTTGGATGTAATTATGGAACAATGAGGGGCGGTTTTGTAAACAATTCTTACATCAGGAGAGAATTATTGGTTTAATTAGCATATTTACACACATTATTACACATTGTTGAAAAGATTCTTCCTTGTTTGTATTGTGTAAAAATATTGAGGTTTCTAATTGGAGAATGGAGATCCTTTTTCTTGATGCAACTCTTAACAAAATTGAAAATTGTCATTTTCCTAACAAATATTGACATAATTAATAAGATTGAGTAAGATAATATTTTCCATGCATGATAATAAAAATGTTTTATGTATGGGATTTAAAGTAATATCATCTTTATATTGTGAAATATTTTGTGGTATAGAGTAAACCATCGATAAATTAATAGCCTCGTTTGAATAATAAATTATTCCGGTCCTAATTCGGTGAAAATGTACTAATTTATTAGTACAATAATTTAATATTTCGCTGAATTATAGAATTTTACTAGTGTCGACTGTATTACTCCCTACCAGTCTAGTTATATATATATATATATATATATATATATATATATATATATATTAGCGATAATCACGGAACTGTCATATATTTGCTTTCCTTGTATGTAAATATTGCCTAGGTTGTAGTTGTAGCAATCCCATAATTTTCTCTCTCCCGTGATTTATTTTTCCTGATTTTTGGATTGTACATAATTATACATAGGCCTTTATAAGCCACATTCTCTCAATGAAATAAATCATCATTTTCTCCTATAATTATTTTGTTATGGCACCAGAGCCAATCGATCCTCATTCCTAAAAAAAAAAAAAAAAAAAAAAAAAATATAATTCTTCTGCACAGTACCAACACATCTCTTGTCATGGCTTCAAGTGATAACAATAATCCCACTTCTCCCTATTATTTACATCCATCTTCTAATCCAGGTACCTCCCTCACCCAAATTAAATTAAAGGGTGACAATTTCTCTTCTTGGGAACAAGCCGTTTTGTTGGCCTTAAAATCTCAAAATAAAGTTGGGTTTATCGATGGTACGATTCCTAAACCAGATACAACCGATCCCAAATTTCTACCTTGGGAAATAGTCAATTCTATGTTGTGTTCTTGGATAGCCAATTCACTTGATGATTCCATACGTGCTACTGTCTCTCGTCTCTCCAATGTCAAGATATTGTGGGATTGTTTAAAAACCCGGTATTCTGTTAAAAATGGCCCGAAAGTTTACAAACTTTGGTATGATCTCACTCTAACTAAACAGTCTGGCACAACTGTGATGTCATATTATACAAAATTCTTGGGTATGTGGTCTGATCTTTCAAATTTATCTCCTCTAGAGTCTTGTACATGTGATAAAAATTCCACTATAACATCTTGGTTTGATAACCTCAAAACCTACCAATTCTTAATGGGTCTTGATGATGCTTTCGGTACTTTGAGAACTCAAATTATTAACATGGAGCCACTACCAGATCTAGATCGTGTCTATGCCATGGTAAGCCAAGAGGAAAGTCACAAATTTGCTATCCAACCACTTGAAACTCAGCCTCAACCCGTTGGTTTTGCCGTATCTCATCGGCCAACCACCACTGATTCATCCACTACTCGTGCTCTTGGACAGCAAAATGGCCGCCCATTTTGTACATATTGCGACCGACAAGGTCATACAATTGATCGATGTTGGACGCGGCTTGGCATTTCTCCTTCTCCAGGCCGCGGACGGGAACGCGGGCGCGGCCGTTCATCTTCCTCGGGTCAAGCCCGCTACCAGAACAACACCACCCCCGCAGCGTTCGCAGCAGCAAGCCAATGGCCTGTAGCAAATCCATCCGGTTCCACCACGTTGGCTCCTACACCAACAACGTTTCCCGGCTTTACTTCTGATCAGATCCAGCAGCTTCTTGCGCTCATCACTCCCTCCTCCGAAGGTGCTAATATGTCTGGTAAATTTGGCTTATTGATAGTGGTGCATCTCACCACATGACGGGAAATATATCACTACTTTCACGTGCTCGTGACATTGCACCCTCTCCGGTTGGTCTACCCGACGGAACTAATGCATCGGCTATCAAAGAGGGATCTTCTTTATTGCAACCTGGTTTAATCGTAACCAATGTGTTATATGTGCCGAGTTTGTCCGTCAATTTAGTTTCTGTTTGTAAGTTGATAGCTGATTCTCGTTGTCTTGTGATTTTTACCGATGACTATTGTATATTACAGGACCGCACATCGGGGAGCCTGATTGGACTGGGTGAGCATCGTGGTGGGGTGTACTATTTTCGGCCGGTGACAAAGGCAACAGCATCTGCCGTTCAAGTATGTGACAAGTATGACCTCTGGCACCGTCGGTTGGGGCACCCTTCCTCTAAACCTATGTCTCTTTTACGTTTCGATGGACAAAAACTATCTTTGCCTGAAAAACCTTCCCTTTGTGATATTTGTTGTCGTGCAAAGCAGAATCGTTCTAGTTTTCCGAGGAGTATTAATTGTGCTACAAACATGTTTGATTTAATTCACTGTGATATTTGGGGACCTTATCGTTTTTCTACCCATTTTGGTGCAAAATATTTTCTCACCATTGTTGATGACTTTAGCCGTGCTGTGTGGGTTTACCTAATGTCTACTAAACGGGCTGCTAGTATTTTATTACAACAATTCTGTGTCATGGCCCATAATCAATTTGGCAAAACTGTTAAAATCATTCGCAGCGATAATGGAATGGAGTTTGTATCTAGTTTTATGCAATACTTTTATCAAAAGCATGACATAATTCATCAAACTAGCATTGTTGATACTCCGCAACAAAATGGACGGGTTGAACGGAAACACCGACATATTTTAAATGTTGCTCGTGCCTTAATGTTTCAAGCGTCGTTACCCATTGAGTTTTGGGGTGATTGTGTGCTAACCGCAGCACATCTTATAAACCGAACACCCACACCTCTCTTGAATGGCCTAACCCCACATGAAAAATTATTTTCTACCCCACCCTCAAATTCTCATATCCGTATATTTGGTTGCTTATGTTATGCGCATTTTAAAGATCGTACTAGGGATAAGTTTGCTCCGCGAGGTCGCCGGTGTGTCTTTCTTGGGTATCCTTATGACAAAAAGGGGTGGAAGGTTATGGATTTGGAGACTAGTCGTGTATTTATCTCACGTGATGTTGTGTTTGACGAAAATATTTTTCCTTATGCCAATAAGTGCTCTGAGGTATCTTCTGCTACAACTCCTCTGCCTCCTCTAATTTATGATATTTATGAATCTGAAAATCTCGTAGCACCACCACAAACGACAGGGGGAGTTCCCTTACCCCACGAAACCGCATCGTCACCTCTTGACATTAACATTGAGCAGCCATCACTTATGGAGCCCAATTTGGGTCGTGGGCATCGGTTTCGAAAAACTCCAGCTCATCTTAAGGATTTTATTTGTCACACGGCCCAACTCATTACACACCCCACTGCGTCTCTTCCTTCCAAAGGTTCCTCAGGTACGCGGTTTCCTTTGGCAAATTATATATCCTGCAAGAATTTTTCTCCTTCACATACTCGTTTTCTTGTTGCCATTACTGCTGGGGTTGAACCCCAATCTTATTCAGAAGCAGTTCAGGATCCTAATTGGCGCGATGCTATGAACGTTGAAATTGATGCTCTCGAACGCAACGGAACTTGGACCATTGAAGATCTCCCTCCCGACAAGAAACCTATTGGTTGCAAATGGGTGTTCAAGTTGAAATATAACTCTGATGGTAGTCTTGAACGATACAAAGCTCGAGTTGTGATACGCGGTGACACTCAAGTCGAGGGCCTCGACTATAATGAAACATTTGCCCCGGTTGCCAAAATGGGAAGTGTTCGTTTATTTCTCACAGTGGCAGTTATTAAAGGTTGGGAACTGCACCAACTCGACGTTAATAATGCCTTTCTTCATGGCGACTTGGATGAGGAAGTATATATGCGCTTACCTCCAGGGTACTATTCTTCTCAGCAGAATAAGGTTTGTCGTCTTCGAAAGTCATTATACGGTTTGCGTCAATCTCCTCGAAATTGGTTTGCTAAGTTAGCCAATTCACTTCGACGATATGGTTTTATACAGTCGCATGCTGACCATACTCTGTTTACTTATCGCAAAAATGATATTTTTTTGGCTGTTCTTGTATATGTCGATGACTTGATAGTGGCAGGCAACAATTCTCATGCTTGCACCCTATTCAAGAAATACCTAAATGATTGTTTCAAACTGAAAGATTTGGGGCCTCTTAAATATTTTCTTGGGATCGAGGTTGCCCGTAATTCTTCCGGTCTATTTCTTTGCCAACGTAAGTACACACTCGATATTCTTGCTGAGGTTGGCCTTGCTGGTGCTAAACCAGCCACAACTCCAATGGAGCAACACCACTCTTTAGCACGTGCATCTGGTCGTGCTCTTCATGATCCGGGCCGCTATCGACGTCTAGTTGGTCGACTAGTTTATTTGACGATTACTAGACCGGATATTTGCTACGCAGTCCACATCTTGACACCATTTTTGCATGAGCCTCGTCAAGAGCACTTGGACGCCGCCTATCGTGTTGTTCGTTATCTCAAAGGATCCCCCGGTCAAGGTATCCTTTTACGGGCTGATAGTTCTCTCCAATTGTTTGCATTCTGTGATGCTGATTGGGCTGCATGGCCACTCACACGTCGTTCACTTACAACCTACTTTATTCAACTTGGGTCTTCCCCGATTTCATGGAGAACAAAGAAGCAACCTACTGTTGCCCGATCCTCTGCAGAAGCTGAATATCGTGCTATGGCTGTCACTACGTGCGAACTTACTTGGATCAAATCCTTTCTTGCATCTCTTGGCGTATTTCACTCGCAGCCCATGAAGCTATTTTGTGATAATCAGGCCGCTTTACATATTGCTTCCAACCCGGTGTTTCACGAGCGCACTAAACATATCGAGGTTGATTGTCATTACGTTCGAAGACAACTACTTGCCGGTTCTATCTCTACGGCTCACATTCGCACTGATTGTCAACCCGCAGATTTGTTTACAAAAGCTCTCGGCAATCAACAATTTCACAACTTATTGGGCAAGTTGGGTGTTCGAAATCCTCACTCTCCAACTTGAGGGGGAGTATTAGCGATAATCACGGAACTGTCATATATTTGCTTTCCTTGTATGTAAATATTGCCTAGGTTGTAGTTGTAGCAATCCCATAATTTTCTCTCTCCCGTGATTTATTTTTCCTGATTTTTGGATTGTACATAATTATACACAGGCCTTTATAAGCCACATTCTCTCAATGAAATAAATCATCATTTTCTCCTATAATTATTTTGTTATATATATATATATATATATATATATATATATATATATATATATATATATATATATATATATATATATATATATATATATCGAAAAAGGGCGATGGAAACTATATAGACTTTTTTTAATTTTAGGACAAATTTCATTTATCCTTCCAAATGCAGGAACATAAATTACGAAGAAATGTTTTTTTTTATTCTTGTAATTTATATTCTACTTGTTTCTTTTGGCTTTTCAAATGGAATCCGAGTTCATTTTTGTGGCGATGTTATCTAGAATCGACTTTGCGTGATAATATTCTTTTAATATGTTTATAATCGACTCTTTCTTGTATGTTTCTAAATTTTTGTGGAGGGGCGATAGTATTTCGTTTGGTTACCGTTATGTAATTATTTGTTAAGTGGCGGTTATATAATTACCTGTTCAGTGTCAGTTCAGTAATTACGACGTTGAGTGGCATTCTTGTAATTACTTAAAGAGTTACACATTTTGTAATTACTTGGTGCATGGTAGTTTTAGAATTACTATAGAATGATAGTGCTCTAATTATTTGATAAGCGACAATTCTGTAATTATTTGGTGAGTCATAATTCTGTAATTACTTGGTGAATGACACTTCTGTAATTCATAGTGAGTGATAGCTCTTTTAATTATTTGTTGAGTGACATTTTTTTTAATTTAATTATGACGTTGAATGATATTTATGTAATTAATTGGTAAGTGGTAACTCTGTAATTACTTGGTGCTTGATAGTTATATAATTATTGTTGAGTGACAGTGCTGTAATTATTTGATGAGCGACAATTATGTAATTATCTATTGAGGGACAGTTATGTAATTACTTGTTGATCGACATTTTTTTAATTACTTGATGAATGACAGTTTTTTAATTATTATATACGTGTGTCAAAAGTGTGTGAGTATGCGTATATGTGTGTCTCAAAAGTGTTTTTTTTTTTTTATAATTAAAATATTCAGTAAATTAAAGGAAATGACAGTTACAAGAGTCGACTAGAGGAGAGCCTCCGTCAAAAAAAACAGTTCAAAGGAGGCCAATTTAAAGGAACATGACCAGACCACTTATCAAAAACAGCCCATTGAGCAAGATTATGGGAAGCAAAATTTGCATTCCTAGAAATAAATTTAAATCTCCATTTCGGCCAAAGCGCCCAGAATTTCTTGATATCTTCAATCATCACTCGGACATTCCAATCAATGGTGCATGAGTTGCTATTGATGAAAAGAATTGCGTTAAGGCAATCTGACTCAATATTAGCTTTTTTGACTTTTGCATGATTGAGAAAAGAGCAAGCTTCCAGAATGGCAGTCACCTCAGCAACGAGAGCATCCATGCAAAAGTGATGGTTTGCATGGGCAAAGATGATTGAGCCATTTGAATTGCGAAAGATAGAGGCGGTGGAGGCACATCCATTCTTGAAAGATGAGTCTGCGGTCACTGTGATCCATCCCTTGGAGGGTTTTGACCAAGTTTGGCAAACATGATCCTTTCCTTTCTTTAGGTTAGACAGCTGCTGAGATTTCCAGTGCTGGGCTGCCGTCGATTGAATCTGTTGGGAAAGAACCGTGAGCAACTTTGTTACGAATCATCCAAATGAAATCAAGCATGACAGCGGTAAAGACAACAAATTCGTCATTTGAAACATTGCGAGGGAGGAAAGTGCATTTCTGATTAAAAATGGAGGAGATCCATTCCCTCAGAGGAGTGTTGTGAAAAGCATCAAGTTTGAGACTCCATTTAGAGGAGAACCAAAGCTGTTCTGAGAAAGGGTACCGGAGAAAAAGATGTTGGATGTATCGTCATTGTCCGAACAAAGGGGACAAGAGAAAGAAGCAATGGGAAAAATGGAACTAAGCTTCGATTGAATGTGTCAAAAGTGTGTATATGTGTCCGCGTGAAAAGTATATTGGAGTGTGTGTATACATGTGCGTGTGAAAAGTGTATTGGAGAGAGTTTGTGTGTGTATAAAAGGTGTGTGCGAGTAGGGGTGGGCATTCGGGTCGGGTTATTCGGGTATAACCCGACCCGGTCGGGTATTACCCGACCGGATCGGGTAATTTTTTACGTAACCGGGTTTTTCCCGGGTTCGGGTACCCGGTGCTCCCAAACCGGGTCGGGTCCGGGTATTAGAAATCCTACCCGGGTACCCGACCGGGTACCCGGTTGAATTTTTTTTTATTTTATTTTTTATTTTTTTATATACATATATATATATATATATATATATATATATATATATATATATATATATATATATATATATATATATATATATCTCTCTATATCTCTAGTATATACATAATATACATATCATAGAGATATATATATACACTGATATATATATATAATAGACATATATATATATATATATACATATACAGATTATCAGTACAATATATATATATATATATATATATATATATGTGTGTAGATATATGTATATCTTAAATAAAAAGAGATACTTTTATTTTTCTCAAAAAAAAAAAAAAAAAAAAAAGGGAAAATAGCAAAACCCGAACCCGACCCGAGATAACCGGGTACCCGGCAACCGGGTACCCGGTTATTTCGGGTCGGGTTCGGGTAATTTTTTTTTTGCAAAAAACCCGAATAACCCGACCCGAATAACCCGAATAACCCGACCCGACCCGAATGCCCACCCCTATGTGGGAGTGTGTGCCAAAGTTGTGTATACAGTGTATATATCACATCATGAATGTGTGTGAAAAGTGTGTTGGGCTTATTACTCAAAAAAAAAAAAAAAAAAAAAAAAAAAGTGTGTTGGGCTTATAACTTCAACGTAAGCACTAACATGAAACTATACACAAGTTTAATTGGGCTTATTGAGTTCCTACGTACACTGGGCTGTGGCCTATGATAGAACAGTACATTATCAGATTATTCATTAAAAAATAAAAAGAGTCAGAAGTAAAATAAATAAATATATAAGGCCACGTCAGCACAATAGAGCACCCGGCGCACACTATATATAATCCCACACCAGCACAATTTTTCCTCAGTTTTCATTCACCACTTCTCTCTCGCAAATGTCAGACCATCTGTTCAACAACATCTCTCTCGGCGGCCGTGGAGGAACCGTACGTATTCCTCTTCTTCTTTATCAATTCATATCGATTCCGAAAATCCTCTCTTCCTTATCAGCAATTCTGTGGTTGCATTTTTTTTTCCCGATATGTTGCCTTTTTATAATTCTTCAGACAATTTGTTTATGTAACTTGTGATGATTTGAATCTGAATCTACGTTTCTTCCCCGTTTTTGTTCGATTAGGCTTCGTCATTTTTCCATGGGTTCTGTGTGGAATTTTTTTGTTCTGTGATTTTGGTTGGGACGACGTCGTTTTTGTCAGTTATTGATTTTCAAGGAATTTTTTTAGTGTTTTCGGATATCCACCTGGAAAATTCATCTATTTCCCCATACCTTGCGGCTACTAGAAAAAGATTAGTTTTAAGAAAATGAAGAATATAATATTCAATTCCTGCAAAAAAATCTTCAATTTATTAAAAAAAAAAGGAGAGCAACTTTTAACAGTTGATTTATTCTGTTTCTTCTTTGATATAAGAGATTTTGACTGGTATTAGATGCATTCGAGAACGATTGTTCGGTTGACCTCTAGTGGGGGTGGAAATTTTGAGTTTTTCTTTCTTTCGGATGATTTTTTATTTTATTTTTTTTAATTCGGGGTTTCGAAATGTAGAATCCAGGGCAGCTTAAAGTTCATTCAGATGGGATTGTATGGAAGAAGCAAGGAGGTGGCAAGGCAGCTGAAGTTGACAAAAACGACTTGCAGAGCCTTACTTGGATGAAGGTTCCTCGTTCTAATCAACTTGGTGTTCGGACTAAAGACGGTCGTTATTATAAGTTCACTGGTTTTCGAGATCAGGTAAATAAATTCTCGTTATCTTTTCGTTGGATTATCTACATTTAATGCATTAATTATTTATGGTTCTGAAGCCATGTCGTTTATTGGACTAAAGTTCCTTAAAGTGAAAAAAAAGGATTGAAAATAGACAAAAAAGGTCGTATAAATGCACTGATTTCAGCTACCTCTGTCATCAGTTTACAAATTTCTGTATCATGCAATAGGTGGTTGAAGTACATATATATATACATACGAGATTATTCTTTAAACTTCAGCTTCTTTGTGTGTCTTTGTGTTTAAACTTTAAATAGATTAAGGTCTCGTCTCGTCATTTTATATTTTTCGTCAATTCTTGTTATCAGGATGTTGCAAGTCTTACTACATTTTTCCAATCGAAATTTGAGAAAACACCGGAGGAGAAGCAGCTCTCTGTTAGTGGAAAGAACTGGGGAGAAGTCGATTTAAATGGTATGCGAATTTGTTATTCAGAGCATTTATACCTTTTTGAAATATTATATATTACGGCGCTTTTATATTACTGTAGAGATTCTATGAATACACTTGTCTGTAAATGTGACAACACCGTAGACAGCATCAGCGGCAATACTCACCCACAACTCCGTATCTATTTACTTACCAAAAACGGTTAGATGATCACATATTTTGTAATTTGTTTTTTCAGGGAATACACTTTCTTTCCTTGTGGGTGCTAAACAAGCTTTCGAGATATCCCTAGCTGATGTGGCGCAGACCCAACTTCAAGGAAAAAATGACGTCATTTTAGAATTCCATGTAGATGATACAACTGGGGCCAATGAGGTATGCATTTATAATTTTGTATGCATTTTATGTCATTCTCTGTTTCCGTGGTACTTGAAATGTTGCATCTAATTAACGACATTGAATTTCTTACCTGTTTTGCAGAAAGATTCATTAATGGAAATAAGTTTCCACATCCCAAATTCGAACACCAATTTTATTGGGGACGATAATTGCCCTTCTGCTCAGGTAACGTTTCCAGCTAAAACTCGATCCGATTTTATTTGTTGCAATTCAACCTTTTGTCAATCATTACAAAAAAAAAGGTGCTTTCATGCAGGTGTTCCGAGACAAGATTGTCTCGATGGCAGATGTTGTAGGGGGTGAAGAATCTGTTGTTACTTTCGACGGAATCGCCATACTCACCCCTAGGTGGGCTTTTTTAAGAACTAGTTGATAATTTACAGTTCAATATTGTTTACTTCTATCTATTAAGAAATTTTTAACATAGTTTCCTTTTTCTTCTAATTTAGAGGACGGTACAATATTGAGCTTCATCTCTCATTTTTGCGCCTCCAAGGACAAGCAAACGACTTCAAAATCCAATATAGCAGTGTCGTTCGTGTTTTTTGGTTGCCTAAGGTTCTCAGCAGGCAGTTATATCTTGGCATTCTTGTTTATCGATTGCTGTCAGTTTTTTCTTATGATATAATTTTAATGCTTAATCATATTTTCGCAGTTCAATCAACCACATACCTTTGTGGTTGTTACTCTTGACCCGCCAATTCGGAAGGGCCAAACATTATATCCGCATATTGTGATGCAGGTAATAAATCCTCTAATAGAGTTCCTTTCTTTTTTTTTAATAGACATCTTTCTGAGTCTAAGCAACCACATACCTTTTTTATTTCTCGTGTATCTGTTCAGTTCGAGACAGATGCTATTATAGACACCACCTTATCGATGGATAAAGACCTATACAGTGCCAAATATAAGGACAAGCTTGAACTTGAACATAAGGTAATCATATCATCTCTTACTTTAGGAATACAAAGTTACTACTCAAATCTTGGCTATTCCAATAATAATAATAACAAAAAATGAATGTGCTGATTATTCACATGAATACATTCGAATATCAGGGACTCACGCATGAGATTTTTATTACAATTCTCCGCGGTTTGTCGGGCGCCAAAGTTACGAAACCTGGAAAATTCCGTAGTAATCAGGACGGTTACGCAGTAAAGTCGTCGCTCAAAGCTGAAGATGGAGTTCTTTATCCTCTCGAAAAGAGCTTTTTCTTTTTACCCAAACCACCTACTCTGATTCTCCACGAAGAGGTATAATTTTCATTTGTGTTTTTGTTTCTTATTTGGAAACCTTCAATTTCGCTCGTATGTGTAGTAGCGTAAGCATATGCTTGCAATGGGAAATGAGAACTACTGTGTTTATCTCTTATAACTCAGATTGACTATGTGGAGTTTGAGAGGCATACAGCTGGAGGTTCGAATATGCATTACTTCGATCTTCTCATTAGACTTAAGACTGAGCAGGAGCACCTTTTCCGAAACATTCAGAGAAATGAGTACCATAATCTTTTCGAATTTGTAACGTTAGTAATCTTTCTTTCCTCTTATACTTAAATAAATAATTAATAATAACATGAGCTTTTGTCGTTATTTTGGGGGTATAAATTTGATAGTATAGGTATCTCTTGCAGTATGAAAGGTCTAAAGATCCTCAATTTGGGGAGTGCCAAGCCGACAGATGTAGTTACATCTGTTCTACAGGATGCTGTTGATGATGCTGTGGACCCACATCTCGAGCGGATCAAGAACGAGGCCATTGGAGATGACAGTGATGAGGAGGTGATGTCACACTTTAAATCTTTTTAAATCATGCAACTCACATATATTTTCTTCAGACATAATCTTGGATTCTGCTTCTTGATTTTCACATGTAATAATAAAATGAAAAGGAAAAAGAAAAACAGCAGTAGTATATCCAAGTTTATACATGAAATGGGCTAACGAGTATTCTAGATTTATCACCTTTGCAGGATGAGGATTTCGTTATTGAAAAAGACGATGCAGGCTCCCCAACTGATGACTCTGGTGAAGGAGAATCTGATGCCAGTGCCAGTGGAGATGAGAAAGAGGTAAACTCTCTCTCTCTGTGTGTGTGTGTGTGTGTGTGTGTGTGTGTGTGTGTGTGTGTGTGTGTGTGTGTGTGTGTGTGTGTGTGATTTAGGCACCAATGTCAATATATGTTGCTATATAGGCACCACTAGCGAAGAAAATGAAGAAAGAGCCTTCTGCTCCAAAGGCGTCATCATCATCTTCGAGTAAGAAAAAAGCTAAAGAGGAAGATGGATCAAAGAAGAAGAAACCGAAGAAGAAAAAGGATCCAAATGCGCCAAAGAGGGCAATCAGTGCCTTTATGTTCTTCTGCCAAACCGAAAGAGAGGTTCGTATCCTTCTGAAACATACAAGTCGTAAAATTAACTGAAGTGAAATTGATGTGAGGATTTAGAGGAAAATGTTTCAATACGCTCCCATATTGATTTTTTTATCTCGTATTCACCACAATAATCAACTGGGGGATCAAGGTTTTTTTTAATGTGAAAGATTATCAAGTCTATACGTAAAATAATAGGCGGCTTTTGAGAAGGTTAATATGAAATATGAGTTTGAAGTACCTTATACCTCCAAATCTTTCCACTCAAATGGAACCTTAACATCACATATTCTTGAAAAACCATTTCTCTTTTATGAGTCCCGACAATCGATAAGCACTTTTTAATTTGTAGCGCACACAAATCTTACCTTATTCCAATTTATATTCGAAATGCAGAATGTGAAGAAGAGTAATCCCGGGATTTCCTTTACAGACTTGGGGAAAGAACTCGGGGATAGATGGAATAAGATGACAGGTAATATTAGGTACTAGCACCTTTTGTTTCCTCTTCTTTTGTATATATATATATATATATATATATATATATATATATATATATATATGCTTTTAACAATGACCACTTTGCCCCTGATGCTGGTGTCGTTTGCTTTTCTACAGCTGAGGACAAATCTCCATACGAAGCAAAAGCTCGGGAAGACAAGAAACGTTACAGTGAAGCGATCAGTGACTATAAGAACGTTGAATCCGCTGATATCACTCGCGGTGTTTAGGTTTTTTTTTTTTCGTTCTTCATATTATTAGATCTCATAGAAACACAATCACTCTTGAGAGATACATACATGTTTTTTTGGTTTCAATAAAGAAAGAATGATGGTGCTGATATAATGTATCATGTTATTACCAAATTTATTTATTTTATTTTTACTTTTTTTGTGTCAATCGGCTAAATTTCATGGCCCTATTTTAATTTACGGTAAATTACGGCCAACCCCACGAGGCAAGGTCAAAATTACGAAACCCCCCTCATGTTTGGGTAATTACAACCACCCCTCAACTATGAACCTTCTTACACGTCCACCCTTGTGGTGTCAAATTTGGTGGAATCTTCTGGATTATGTGGAATAATATTCTCTAGTTTGTACCCGTTTTACCCCATTCGAGCTCCACATTTCGAAACAAAGTGATCATGAGATGTGTCTCTTGGCTTGTAAATATTAAATTGTGGTGCATCAAAAATTGCATTTCTCTACAAAACGAGTACAAAGAATATTATGTTAAATTGACACCATTAGGGTGAACTTGTAAGAAGATTCATAGTTGATGGCGGTTGTAATTACTCTAACAAGAGAGATTTTTTCATAATTTAATCTTATTTAAAGGGCATCACCGTAATTTACTCGTTTATATTACTGGATCAACGTTGATGGGTTATCAGCCGTAAAGCAAGCCCAACTGAATTGAACTCAACGGTCCAACAAGCTATATATCTACTGAAATCCAACACACTGATCAATTTGAACTTTGAAGTAATAATTTTCGTAATATAGTATATATATATATATATATATATATATATATATATATATATATATATATATATATATATATATATATATATATATATATATATATATATATATATATATATATATATATATATAGTATAAAAAGATCCTAAATATTAATTATATATTTCTTATATCAATGTATAAATTTCCTAATGGCCAAACAAAGCACTTTCTAGTTTCTTGGGGAACAATACAGCAGTGACAATATTCTTAATTTCAAATAATAATTTTCGTAAATTATCAAACGTGGCATTTTCTTGGGGAACAATACAGCTCTCTTGCAAAATGATAAGAGTACAACAAAAATGTATTCTGCACTAAAAAATCAACCAGCGGTCCAGATTAAACCTCACGCCCCACCCCTACCTCATCAACGGCTCTAATTCCCGAACAAACACGCCCTTCAAAAAATAAATCCACAACAGAAAAATTAGCCTTCGTCACTGCTTATATATATAAATAGCATCTCTGCTAAACAAACCGCACTGCACACATTCATTTCTCTCTCTCTACTCTCTCTCTCTTCTTCGTGAATTTTCGGTTATCAATTTTAAGTGAAGAATCATGGGCAAAGGTCCAGGTCTCTACTCTGATATTGGCAAAAGAGCTCGAGGTTTTGATTCCATCCTTTTTTTTTTTCTGCTAATATTCGATTTCATTTATTTGTTCCTTCATTTTTGTTTTCGTTTTTTATGTATAATTTTTTTTTTGAAATAGATCTTCTGAACAAGGATTACAACAGCGACCAGAAGTTTACGCTCACCACCTACTCTCCCACTGGAGTTGTAAGTATTTTTTTTTTGCGGATCTGATTTTATTATTGTTAAATATATATGTGTGTGTTTGCGCGCGTGGAGCTGTGGTTTATATACTAAAAATTCTTCTGTGTTGGTGAAACTATTTTCCGGTGAAATATACGTAATTTAAAATAAAAAAATTAACTAGGTTTTTCTTGTTCGGAAATTATATTTTTGCTTTTGTATGTTTGAATAGCTATTTTAACTTGCGGCATGGATGATATCTGAAAAAAATGGTGGTTGTTTCGTGTGTTTTTCTCTGTGCGTTTGAGATATATGCCGATTGTTGAAGTAGATTTGTTGAGATTTTGTGGTAAATGTATGCAGTCTCCATTAATTTGTTGGTCTATAGTTGCGCTCACATGTTTGTCCATCGACAACTCGTTTCTGAGTTTTTTTAGGGTTAACTATGAACAATATTCATGTATATAAGTTACTGATGGTGTAGGGCTTGCATTTGTTAATTAATTTGGGCGTTAGTTGAATTTGTTAGTGAAAAACACTGTAAACTGAGCTTCTTTTGTTTCACTGTAGTATTTTGATGTTTAGACGATGCAATATTAGAATAAAACTCAACACGAAAACACATTGGTCTGGATAATACTACTTCGTTATCAAAGGAAAACACAGGGTGTTGCTTTTGTAAGTTATATGAGATGCTTATTAGATTGTGTATGTGTCTAGTTCATCTCATTTCTCAAAAGACTGGGACATAAAATAGATTCAAATGGAGTAGACAGTAAAAATAATCCTTGAGCAATGCAAGTATTGGTAATAACTGATGCAAAGTTGGTAAAGCCGTTAGTACTTTTTAGGAACTAGCAATTAATGGAATTTGTTACTTCTATGGGCATGTGGTTTCATGTAGTTCTCTGTTGCTCTTGATTCCTTTGGTTTGGTTTTTTAAATGTAATTATTGGCCTGATGAGTTCTTGATTTTTACCTCTCTGTCTTAAGCATATGTTTATTGTTTTTGGTTTTTCGTTTCTTGTCAGACTCTCACTTCGTCGGGTACAAAGAAAGGCGAGCTGTTTCTGGCTGATGTCAACACTCAATTCAAGAACAAGAATGTCACCACTGATATTAAAGTGGACACGAGCTCAAATGTAAGCCTTGCCATCTGCTGCTCTCCTTGGACTACGTTTATTCATGTCGTACTTTCCAATTATTATTCTCTTGTGGCCAAGAGAAGTTGGCATCAAGATATTTGTATGATCTCTTCAGTAACATTCTATTGTAAATTGTTAAATAATACTAATATTGGATTTTGTCTACCTTTGAAACATTTAACCGACTTATTGAAGCCAATTGCAGCTCTTTACCACTATAACAGTTGACGAGCTTACCCCTGGATTGAAGACAATATTGAGCTTTAAAGCTCCTGATCAAAGGTCTGGAAAGGTAAGCTAGATTTCAAGTTCTTTTCTCGACTACATTTAGGCCCTCCGTTCTAATTCGTTGTTCACGATTGACCATTGTAGTTGGAACTTCAATATCTGCACGACTATGCTGGATTGAGCTCAAGCATTGGATTGACTGCCAATCCCGTTGTAAACTTCGCTGGGGTTTTGGGTAACAACAAGCTTGCTCTGGGAAGTGATGTGTCTTTCGATACCAAGGAAGGAGCTTTTCTCAAGTACAACTTTGGTGCTAGCTTCACAAATGCTGATCTTATAGCTGCAGTGACTCTGTAAGTTGGTGTCAATTGCTTCTTCTTGTTTGTTTATCCTAAATTTATTGAAATTATAATCTGGGCAACTGTTAAAACATGCACTCAAGTTGCCTTCGTTTACATTTCCAAATTATTTTCCATCATCTATAATACGATTTCCCATAAAACATAAACAAAAATTACTTCCATTCTCAAAATCTATTCCCAAAACACCATTCCCTCAAAATGAAATATGTTCGTTTGCATTTCAAAATCCCTTTTCTCGTTTACCGCCATTTGAAAATTCTCTCGATTTTACTCATTATCCGAACATATAAACAAACATTACTCACCATTCTCAAAATCTTTTCCCACAACGTCATTCTCCCAAAATGAAATATGTTTCGTTTACATTTCAAAATCCCTTTTTCTCATTCGAGAAATGCATAACTCGGTGTTTTGTTTACCATTTCAAGATCCTCTCAATTTTACTTATATCCCCAACATATAATAAACAAACATTACCCCCATTCTTCAAAATCTTTTCCCAAAACACTATTCTGAATCAAACATAGTTTTGTCTTTGGTTTATGTATTCCCGATAAAATTCTGAATCTGCCATTTTCTTGGTGTAGGAACAACAAGTTTGATTCGGTGAGTGCATCATACTACCACACAGTGAGCCCATTGACCAACACTGCAGTGGGTGGAGAGTTTACCCACAGCTTCTCGAGCAGCGAGAACACCATCACAGTTGGCACTCAGCATTCACTGGACCCACTCACCAACGTGAAAGCACGTGTGAACAATGCTGGCAAGGTTAGCGCTCTGATCCAGCACGAGTGGCGCCCAAAGTCTCTCATCACCGTTTCTACTGAAGTCGATGCCAAAGCTTTTGACAAGAGTGCCAAATTTGGCTTAGCTTTGGCCCTCAAGCCTTAAACGATTCTTCCTTTTTTTGGGGTTTGAATGAGAATTGAACTTGTCGTGTTGGGTGGTTGTAGAAAGACAATTAGGCTGTTGGTTGATTTCCTAATTCCATTTGACTATATAACGACTTCTCTTTCTCGTTTAACAGTTGAACACTTTTTGAGCCTGAAATTTTCTTAAATCGAATCAGGGCAGCTATTATTTGTTTCTTTTTAAAGTTGTCTTCGGTTCTGGTTCGGCAGGTACCAGACTTTGTCATGTCGTAAAACTATGTTTGATATGACTGAGAATAAGTGAATTTCAGGGGATGTTTTGCCCTTGGAGCTGTGAAAATTTTGTGTTTGCATTTTACTTGCGCAGTTTATTTCGAAGGCAAGATGTGTGAAATTGTTTGCTGTTATTAGCTTTGGGCAAACAATTTCATGTGATGTTGTGCCCAATATTATCTGCATTTCATACGTAAAATACCAAATTTCTAGTCTCTAGATATAAAAACAGAGCAATTTTCATACGGTGGTATGTATCACTTGTGCGCAATTATTTTATAACTGTACTGCTTAGCTTTGTTCTTGAGCAGTTGTGCTTCTTTGATAATCTTTGAGATGAGAAATAACTAGGGGTGTGAACGCGCAGAACTCGAGCCGAGTCCGCTTATTCTCGAGCTCGACGAGATGAATTTTTTTGGCTCGAGCTTGAATTCTTTATTGGATTCTAAAGTATAAAAATCTTCAAAGCTACAAAAAAATTGACACAAAAGAAGTATAAAATCATTTTTGGAAACAAAATAAAGTGTTCCGATGTACGAAATTTCAGATTAAGAGACCATTTAATCCTCTCGTCTCTCTCCAAGTTCAGAAGGGTGCTGCTCCAAGCTTCCACACGCGTCTCTTCTCGTCTTCTTCGCTGTCATGCGCATCTCCGTGGCAATGCTCTTCGTCTTCTTCCTCATCATCTTCTCAATTTCCAAACGATCATTTCGTAGAACACTTGGACAAATGAATTTCAATTTCTGATTTATTCGATACAAATTTATTTGAAAAGGACAAGGAGCATTATGTAATATTTAAAGGTACATAATTAAAGATAATATATATATATATATATATATATATATATATATATATATATATTCTGAAAAACAAATAGTACGATATATTTTTTAAAGGGGAAATATGCAATACCCCCTCAAATGAAAAATATTATGAGCAAAACCCATTTGACTTTTAAGACTTTTGTCAAAACCCAAAATTCAATCTTAATTAGTGAAACCCCCTCAATAAACGTGATAAGCCAAAACTACCCTTATAAGTAAGTGTTTTTTAAATAATTACAATATTTATTTTCCATAACCTCTTACGTGATTGTAGGATTATATTAATTCTCTCTTTATATCTCCATATCTCTCTTTGTTCTCCCTCTCCTCTCGTTCTCTCACAATTAGGGTAACATCATATATTATTACAGACACCTCTCGATTCTTATATGATTATTTGTCGATATTTTTTTTTTCTTTTTTGCGCTTACGAAACATTGATCTCTCAACCTCTGAGATTCAATTCAATCTCACCCAACTTGGTGTTCCTGTCTTGGTGCAAAAAATAATTGCTACTATTTTTTTGGTGTTTATATGTGAAAGAACTTTGATATGGGGATGGATACGAACAATGATATTGTCTTCTGTCTGGCTGTTGTTCGTCAAGTGAGGGTGAGTTTTTTTTCACGAGTGTTGTGCCGTCAAGACTTGCTACGGTGTCAAACCTCCCAAAAAACTCAAGTTGTCGCCTCCTACACATCATACCACCTTCATTCGTTATTTTTGATTTTCTTCTTTTTTTTTTTTTCCTCTCCAGATCTGAAGTAGCAACGTCAACGTGACTATAGTCTGGTTCTAATGTGACTATTCGATTTTTTTTTGCTACTTTCTGTTTTCGTGTTCTTGGAAGCTTCTGAGCAACTCAAGATGCCTTTTGGCATTTAAATTTTTTTGCTTGTGACTGTGTGTGGTTTTGAATATTAGAGAGAGAGAGAGCCCATCATATATATATATATATATATATATATATATATATATATATATATATATATATATATATATATATATATATATATATATATATATATATATATATATATACATCTCTCTCTCTCTCTCTCTCTCTCACACTCACACACACTCACACACACACACACACACACACACACACACACACACACACACACACTCACGCTCGCTCTCTCTCCCCCTCCCCCCACACACACATACACACACACATACATACAAATGACCGCGTTTGCGCTTTTTTGTTTTTTGCGTATGTTTTTCTATTTCTCTCCCCACCCTCCCCCCCACCTCCCCCCACATATATATATTTATATCTACCTCCCTCTCTCTCTCTCTACCTCCCCCTCTCTCTCTATTAATATTATCGCTCTCGACAGAAAGAGAAACACCCCCTGCCCACATACACATACATACACACACACATACACACACTTACACCCATATACA